TTTTTAAGAGGAGGAATAATGTTTTGAACGAAATCGGGTTTGGAAATGGAGAGCTTGTAAAATAATATCCGCCTCATACGGCGAAACCCTAACCAAACATGGTCAAAATAAGTAAGAGGGAGTATCACCTCCGTTGCGCCGCCGGGAGGTGGCGCAACTTGACATTGCTCAATCACGGTGGCCATGTTAATTGATATAATGTTTGGCTAAGAAATACACACAACACATATATGGAGCCCTTAATATTATAATAACAATTGAGTTCATGATCAAATAGATATAAAAATATTCCCCAATAGATATCATAATGTATATCTATTATTTAGAGTTTAAATTATTGACATCTTAATCGACCTCGAAAAATGTGTGGTTGTAATGGGCCTCTTTTGTCCTAATTTGAGTCATCATATGGCTGATATTGAATTATTAATGACAAGAGGCACATCAAATCTGCTATGTCTTTTTTTATTGTTTTTTGTGACCTGAAATTATAAATCTAGATATTTTAGATCTCTTTAGAAAATTTAGTCCACAACATCATGTAAACAAATTTCAAAAAGCAAATTAAAATATTGTGCGTGTAATGCACACTCGTTATCTTGACAAAAATTACGAATAAAACTACCACACGTGGCATATGGGCCCATTATTTTAACTTTAAAAAATAAAGAATATTTTCCTTCCTTTAATAATATATAAAAAATTAAATTGATTAAAAAAAAATCTTTCCCCACCCTCACCCCCACCTAACTCCCATTCCATCTAACTTACTGTCCTTTTTTCTTCATCTTCTTCTTCTCTGTTGTTTCACAATCACCATTCCTCTGCATAACAAAAAAAAATGTCTAACCCCATCTCATTCCGAATTCATCCACCAAATGTTTTCCTCTTTCATTTTCTTCGTTATATGTTATTCCTTCGACGACTATTTCGATTTTGTAAATATAATCGACCTTGATAAATTATTTTGAAATCGACAGAAAAGAGAAATTAAAATTATATCAAATATTTTATAGCTTTCTAATAAGTTTATGATGGTGATAGTTGCTCAATTGGAGTTATTGAAAATAAAAAAGTACAGATATGGGTCAATTTTTTAACTCCAAATGGTCCATTTTTTCTTCTTCTTGAAAATTCAGCAGGTATTTTGTTTACAGAAAATGAAAAAAAAAATGAATCATAGCAAAAGGCAGAGAAATTTGAAGTTTTTAAAATATTGAGTTGAAGAAAGATGAGTGTGGGGTGGTTTTTTTTTTTAATGATTTAAAAGATTTATGCTTAATTAAATTAATTTTTTTAATATATTTAGTCAATGCATGCCAAGTGTCAACAAAGTAGGTATAAATATTTTTTTAAAAAAAAATAAAAAAAACGCATTCACGCGCTCAGCAGCAGTGAGATACATTTATTGTCACATCAGCGTTTTGTGTTTAATAGGCACATTTCTTGATAATTTAGGTGTTTAATAAGTATAAGTCCTAGTTCAGGTGTCTAAGTGAATTATGTGGACAACTTTAAGGGGCCGCAGATGATTTAAGCCTAAATTATTTATTTTTGGTCTAAAAATTAATACTATTTGAAAAAAGAAAAGAAAAAAGTATATGTTAAACTAGATTATTTGTACCGCACAATTGTCCTATTCCTTGATGATCCACATGTTAAATTAGAGTTTAAATTTAGGGCATGTTTGGTCACGGATATGATATTATAATATAATATTATGATATGAAATTATGAAATGAAATTAAAGTTATATTTGGATATGTAATATAAAATTTTGGTATTTATATTTTTTCACAAACATACGAATTCAAAAGTTGTAAAATAATTAAAATAGTCTCAATTATTTATTCAATTTATCAAATAGATAAGAAATTATTAAATTGCATAATAAATTATTTATATTGTTATTTGTTCTTTCCCAAATTAATTGTTTAATCTAACTTTAACTCAATAAAAAAAATATTGAATATAAATTGTGGTGTACTAGTCTTTAATATTACTTAACAATCGATTGTTGTGTGTTAAATAACTACATTTTTGTGAGAATAATAAATTTTATTTCAGTGAGACTGATAAATTATTAAAAGTCGTTATAAATTTTATTTACATATGCAAGCATATGTTTAATGCAAGTTTGAGTAATAGCAATGAGATTTTCCAATATCATGAAGAGTAAGCAAAAAAATGTGAGCGTTCATGCCCTATACAGACGGTTTTTTGGCGGTAAGGTTAGGGTGTTTGAGGCAGATTAAAAAAAAGTGGTTGATTACTCGGATTGGTCAATTTCAATTGAAAGAATAAGTTGAAATGAAAAGTTTTTGATTCAGCTATTATTATAGGCAGACAACACTAACAAAGATATAGTGCCAGACATATCAATGAAATTGATTCATCATCTACGTGAGGCTGTAAAGCCTAAGTAGATACAAATCTTTCCAAAAGATTTGGTATTTGATGGAGAACGGAAAATTCTTGAGCGGGTTGTTATCCTTAATTGGATAAAACAGTGGTTGACTTAGCTTTCTTGGTATCATACTGTAGCATTATCACCAAATGTTGAATCGTCAACCGCAACACTGACTGCCCCAACATTGTTGCTCCCGATCCTACCTGTACTGTAGGAAGAGAAGGACCTATTGTGACAGGGATATAATACTCCATGCGGGTTTCATGTTCTATCTCACTCCCCGATGGGGGTTCTTTTCACCCTTTCCTCACGGTACTACTTCGCTATCGGTCACCAAAGAGTATTTAGCCTTGCAAGTTGGTCCTTGATGATTCACACGGGATTCCATGTGCACCATGCTTGCCACTCTACCGAGCTAACCAAAATGGAGAGTCCGAATGAACGGAATACTTGGGTGAGAATTAGAGTAGCTAACGAATAACAAGCAGTATAAAGAGGGATCATTTTTTGGAGTTTGCAGTTGAAACAATAAGGAACCTCTGACCGAGATCTTTTGGCGATGATTCCGTACTACAGTTCGGTGGAGGAACTATAGGACATCCTTGGGGTAATGCGCCAGGTGTCGTGGAGAGGTGAAATGAGTAGAAATCGAAAAGAACACCAACGACGAAAGCACTCTGCTGGACCGACACTTGACACTGAGAGACAAAAGCTAAGGGACTGAATGGTATTAGATACCCCATAGTCCTAGCCGTAAACGATGGATATTAGACGTTGTGCGTATCGAAAATAAATAGTTAGTACATATAAATGTGAGATTGTTTTAACAAAACATAAACTTGTGGATCTTTTTATAATAAAAGTATCTCAAATCATGATATGAAATTCTCATAGTATGATTTTAGTGAATATGAAATCACATCCCATAATATCACGGGCGGATAGTTAGGTTTTTAAAAAAAATTCATTGGTCCCCAATTTTAGGGCCCCCCAATTTTTAGTTAATTAGTTTAAATTAAAAAAATTACAATTAACACAATAAATGTAAACAGCTAAAATAATTTAAGTTAAATGCAAACGGTAAAGACTGGAGTGGTTAACTTTTCAATAAACGTTAGCTCAGCTGCGCCACCGTGGGGTGGTGGCGCAACTTGGCATTGCTCAATCAGTAGTTAAGTCATTGTTGTTTGGTAAAGTCATTGTTGTTTGCTAAATTTTTGAACTCATAAATTTCAGAGTCAATCCTCTAGTCTTGTGTTCAAAAGATTTAGAATCTCTTTTTATATATACAAAAAGAAAACAATATTATTGAAGTTTTGGAATAAGATAAAATTATCATTTTTATTATCTCTCTAATAATAATAAGAACCTTAAAATTAATTAAAACTTCGAAAAATTTAACCGCTTTGTATATTCAAATAATAAATTTATATTACCAACAACTCTCATTATTTCTTGTTGAATTAACTTTTTATTCTTTCTCAAATTCTCGAACACTCAGCCTTGGTATAGAAAGCTAAGCACGTGCGTGAATATAGAAGCAAAAGAATTAAGTCATGTTTTAGCGATCAAGCAAATTGAAAAAAATCAAATCATATTTACGTAACATGTTTAAGGCTATAAGATCAAAATGTATTTTGATACATTTGGTGTAACTTTTATTTAGAATCACAAAATTAAAAAATATTTTTTCTTTCTTAAACTTCGTTCCAAGTTAAATTAGATTATTCAATTTTAAACGAAGAATGTAGAATGTTTTGGCTAATAAATACACAAATAGAATTGGAATGGCATGCCTTATCATCAATATACATGGATCCGTGAAAGTGGTTGCCTTTCGCGTCATACATAAAGTGATTGGCCTAATTTTGTCTTTTTCGAATTTTTATACGTATATTTTAACTTTGTGACTGTCATATTACTTTACTAAACAATTTTGAACAGATGTTATTATATCATTTTTTGATTAGCTTCAAATTATAACAAGCAAGTAAGTTCACACTCCAATCATTAAATGACACATGTTAATTAAAATTATAATTTTTTTCAATTAATTTTTTTTTAATCTTTTTTTTTATTTCTCTCTCTCTTACTTTTGAATTTTAATTTTGATATATCTTAAATTTATTTTCATCTTCCACCTTCCACTTTCATCCTTTCATTTTCTTTCTTTTTTCTTCACCTTACAACCCTTCGTGTCAAATTAAAACTCACTTTCATTTTTTTCTTTTCTTTTTTTGTTTTCCTTCTCTGGTCAAATTCTTTATAAGATTCATACAATTATTTAGACTTTATTGAGTTATTGATAACACAATTAATTATTTTTTTAAAAGAAAATTTAAAATTTTGAAGGTATCATCAAGTACTCATTTTTTGTAACGACCTGTTTAGTCGTTTTGAGCAGCAAATTTTATTTCTGGAAAAACAGGCTGAGACGACGGAACCCACGACGGACCGTCGAGGGGTCTCGTTTCAAAACACTTAGAAATTCTGAAATTTGGGTACTGAAATCGACTCTCTGATCTTCGTGACGAAAGTGCAGGACGGACCGTCACAGGCGTGATGGACCGTCACAGACTCTTCAGAGAATTTCAGTCTCTGAACTCTGTGACGGAGCAGCAGGACGGACCGTCGCAGGCATGACGGTCCGTCACAGGTTGCATAATCCCAGTCGGAGTCGGA